CCTATGAGACCGGCTGAATGCGCGCGCAGCTCTTGCCGCGCGTGCGCATTCAGCCGGCGGGGCGTAACAGAGGCGGAGAGGAGGAGGAGAGCTCTCCGCCCAGCGCTGGAAAAGGGTAAGTTTTTACCCCTTTCCCCCTTCCAGAGCCAGGCGGGAGGGGGTCCCTGAGGGTGGGGGCACCCTCAGGGCACTATAGTGCCAGGAAAACGAGTATGTTTTCCTGGCACTATAGTGGTCCTTTAATTCACAAGCTGTTTTGATGCTTTTCTGACTTTTTTTTTTTACAGGTTGCTACTCAGTAATAACAGATGGCACTCACATACTGGTATACTTTTGAAGGGGAACATTGTAATAAGACTTTGCTACAAGTTATTAGTTAAAAAGGTGTAACGGCACACATATTATAGCCAACATATTATTATACTGTGGAAGACTAAGGGATTCATAAAGTATATAATTTTTTTTTTTTTTTTATCTCAAACTAATTTAAGTAATAGACAACATATACAAAACAATTATAAGTGTAACCCTTTTTTGTCCTGCTCCTGGCAACAAACCATAGTAAGCAGCAGTTACACCTTCTTCTGTCACTGACAGGGATCCTGAGCCTCCGCTATAGTTGGCAGATCAGGACATCTTGTTCTGACACAGTGCCTCCACTCAGTGAAGCTTCTATTTATGGGGAACCCACTCCACTGAGTAGATGAGTATCCTACACTTAATAATACCTCAAAAACATTAATTAAATACAGATATGGGAATACGTATTGTAATGTGGTTAAAGAGATACACATATAACTGCAGAAATAACAATGCAGTTCCTGGCTAATGTTAAATGGTGATAAAGTCTCTGATGTAGGAATTAAACAGTCACAAGAGTCTTTAGCAGCAGGAATGCAGACAACAAACTTCCCTTAATAACCTCAATAACTACATCTGAACAGTTAAACTTAGGTAACTGCAGGTAAATTATCCTCCCCTCTGTAGAATCCTTGCCTTCTGCTGGCAACAGCAGTCCATCTGGTTTGTAACCATTTTACAAGACGGTACAATACAATCTAATACAGGGAAATTCTATCACTCAATATTTTGGTCAAAGTATGCAATACATTGATTAACTTACAAGTGTGGGGGTTCTGAGAATAGGTCTGTTATAGGTCAAGAATGCTGTTATAGGTCAAGAATCTCTGACTTCTTCTGCCTCTACCTAGGTTGCTAGGTGGCTGTCCACTAATTTCTTCATCACAGGGTCTTTCACCCACACCATTGCGAAGGGATCCGGTAGACAGAGGTCCAGATCCTCACATAGAGTTTGACTCCCCAGCTGGTGAATGAGGAACAAAGATGGGACTTTCATGATTTAATCCGGATGAGGAGGAAGATGGAGAAGGAGCAGAGGTAGAAGGGACCAACTGTGTTTCTGGCGCTGTCCACCAGTCTCTGTCAGGGCTGGAAGCTGTAGCTTCTTCTTTATCATTATTAGTTGGTGATGTTCCACTGGAACCTTCTCCGGGGTTGTCTTCTGAGTCAGTTTCTAAGAGAGGCTGTATGCTGGAATTCTTATTGGCTTAGCCAGTGTTTTCCTCCTAAGTAGAATCTTCACCGGAGAAGGCAATAGGTAATTGGTGATTTCTATGCCAAGCTTTGATCCTATCCTCAGGCCCTTTGATTCGATACACAGGAATCCCAGGAACTTTGGAAATAACCTCAAAGAGAGTACTTCCCTGGAACTCTTAGGTTTCTCAAGAGTACTTTATCTCCAGGCTGAATGTCTTTGTAACGTACTTTGGAATCATATCTTCACTTGTTATTTTCATTAATCTTGTCAGTAGCTTGCTAAGCCACTTCATAGGCCCTTTGTAAACTTTTTTAAAATTCCTAACATATTGATTATGAGAAGCATGGCTCATACCATCAGAAGACACTACCAAACAGATATCAATGGGCAGTCTTGCCTCCCGGCCAAACATCAGAAAGTAAGGGGAAAACCCAGTGAATTCATGTCTGGTACAATTATAAGCGTGGACCAGAGTTTCTACATGTTGAGTCCAATTCCTCTTCTCTACATCTTTAAAAGTGCCTAACATATCCAACAGAGTTCTATTGAATCTCTCCGGAAGAGCATCTGCTTCAGAATGATATGGAGTCATCCTAGTTTTCTCAATCTATAACAGTCTCCGCATTTCTTTAATTATTCTGCTTTCAAAATCTCGACCTTGGTCAGAATGTAATCGTTTAGGAAACCCATAATGGGTAAATAATTTCTGCCATAACACTTTAGTGATTGTAACTGCCTTCTGATCCTTGGTAGCGTAGGCTTGAGCATATCGAGTAAAATGATCTGTAATCACAAACACGTTGCTCTTACCAGTAGAGTCAGGTTCAATGCATAGGAAGTCCATACACACTAAGTCTATAGGGCCAAAACTTGTTAGGTGACCCATGGAGGCAGCGCGGGTAGGTAAAGTCTTCCGCTGGATGAAACTTCTGCACCTTGGCAATGCATCTCCACAGATTCTCTCATGTAGGGCCAGTAGAATCCATCCTGGATTAGGCCGAAAGTGTTGTCAATTCCTAAATGGCCATGGAAGTCATGTAGAGATCTAAGCACCATTCCTCTGAACCATTGAGGGAGGACCAACTGTTTTTGGCTAGGGTGATCATGGTATTGTATGACTCTGAATAGGATTCTATTTTCAATATGGAATCGACTCCACTACCTTTTAAAATGGTTTCGTAGTTCAACAGGCAAATCCTTCATATACTGGAAATCCTGTTTCTCCACAGCTTTGATGAGACTGTTAATTACTGGGTCTTGAGCTTGAGCTTGTTTTTTTCTCATCTAAGCTGATAACAGACCATTCGGGGATAGTAATTGGAAGACACAGGGCTTCAGGAATTGCCTTGGGGGTATAACTAAGAGAAGCAATAAATCTTAGTCCTTCCAAACTTGCATCTAAATGGAGAATATATGGCATATTGGGATCAGCGTAAGCTAACACAGGTGCTTCAGTCATCTTTCTCTTGAGCAGTTGGAAAGCTTCTTCACAATTCGGAGACCATTTCTCTCCTATAAGTTCCTTAGAGTGGCCGGTCTGAGCCTTCCTAGAGTCCCCTTTCATGAGGCCATGTAGGCTTCGGGCTATCATTGAATAGCCTTCTACAAAACGACAGTAGTAGCCGCCGCAATTCTTCAATGTTGTTGGGCGTAGGCCAGTTGAAGACTGCTTCTCCTTTGGCTGGGTCTGTGGCAACATCTGCGGATACAATGTGTCCAACACAGGTTACAGAAGTCTGAGCAAATTTACACTTATCAAGAGACAACTTCAGGCCTTCCCTTTGAAGACGATCTATTACCTTTAACTAACATTTCTTATGCTCTTCAGGGGTTTTTCCAAATACAATTACATAATCCAGATAAACTAGACATTCCCTAGGGCTCATATCTCCTAGAGTCTTCTCCATTATTTGCTGGAAGTTTGCAGGAGCTCAGGTAACACCTTGAGGCATGCGAGTAAATTGTAGGAATCCTAAAGAGCAAATAAAAGCTGTTTTTTCTTAATCCTTCGCCATCATAGGGACTTGATAGTATCCAGAGCGAAGATCCAAGACACGGAACCTCCAGCTGCCATTCAAGGCATTCAAAAGATCTTCTATTCTTGGCAAGGTATATTGATCAGGAATAGTTCTCTTATTCAGTGTACGATAATAAATACAAAGACGTACTGACCCATTTATCTTTCTGACCACCACTATAGGTGATGCATATGGGCTTCTTGATTCTTGAATAATCCCTGCTTCCTCCATCTCATGAAGGATGTCCCTTACATTTTCAATGTCTCGAGGAGCTATCCTTCGAGATCTCTCTCTAAATGGGGTAGAATCATTTAGCCGAATGGCATGCTGAGCACTCTTGGCACATCCTACATCCATATCCCCTTTAGAGAAAACTTCTCTAGCCTGAAGGGCCTTTTGTAATCTATCTTTCCATTCTGCAGGTAGTGGGATACCTTCTAAATCAAATTTCAACTCTTGAACAGAATCTTGGCTCAATACAACAGGCAAAGATGAAATAGGCCTTACTTCTTTCAAAAGATTGATCACTCCCAGCTTCTGGCAATGTTCTATGTGTACATCAATTGGTGAGTGATTGTGAATGGTTACTACAAACTCATCAATTTTCTAACTTTGCCAATCTTTTACCTCAGGCATGATATTCCAGCCTTTAATTAAATCCTCTTCAGCAAGAGACTCTAGGCAAAACTGCAACAGCAGTAATGGATTTCATTTCCCCTAGTTGAAGGTCAACAGGTGTAGGCCCCCAATGGAACTGACCTGTTCCGGCTTCAAGGGCTAGTCTGCGACATTCTTGCCTCAGAGCTGGTTCTAGTTAATTTAATTTGTTTAAGCAGGCATTGTCCATTTCTTTCAAGTAACCTCGAAATAAATTTCTCACCACTTGAGTGTTAGTCCCCAATATGATGGGAACTCCAGGACGATTAAGATTTGGGCACACCAAATCCTCCACATTCATAGGGCATTCTTTCCCAGTGTCCAATTGAGGGATCACAATCTGTACTTTAATTACTCCCTCGACGGGATAATTCAGAGAACCCAGCCCCCACAATTTCATCAATTTTAATTTCATCATCTGCTGGTAACATTGGTAAATGGCTTAGATGCTCCTCATAGAAAGACCGGCAGATTATCCTTACTAGCCAGTGGCTAGGAAGGCAGACACATGGATGCCTTCAATCACAAGAGATACATGTGATTTTAGTCCTACTCTAGAATTTCCAGCCAAGTTGTCACCAGAGAACTTCTTTCTTCCTTTCCAAAACTGTCACTTCTTCCAGGGTGTGCCACATGTAGGGCCTGGGTCAACAACTAAGCCCTCTGAAATAAGAGAATCCTTCAAGGGACATTTGCTCGAGACATGTCCTGCTTGCCCACAGCTAAAACATTTCAATTCTCCTTTCTTCCCTGTCTGAGGAGAGATCTTATAACTTTTTTTTAGAGCTTTGAACTATGGCCTCTTCCCTGTTTAATACGGCTGTTGGTAAGTTAGTCTTAGGTGCGTTCTGATTTTCATGTGATGATGATTTCTTTATGCCATCATGATGATTTAGGATATGGTCAAATTGTTTATGTATTATTTTGGCTTCTTTCATTGTGTCAGCATAATCCAACAACCCCTTAGCACACAGAAGATTGACCAAAAATGTAGCTACAGAATAATTTGGTAGAGTTCCTATTAGAACTTGTCTCCTTATATATTCATCAAACGTATCTGATGTGATAACATTCTTCTCAAATAACTTTCCTAGCATTAATTCTAATCGTATGAGATAGGAAGTGAGGGTTTCCTTCTCCTGTTTAACCGTGGCAGCATATTTTAACCGGAGCTCTTCCTCTTCACTTTCCTCACTATAAGTATGGTCTAACACCTTTAAAAGATCATCAGTAGGAGAATTTGGGAAGTGTAGTAAGTGACACTTTATTAATTCTAGTGCAGAAGATCTCAGTCGCTTGGACTCATCAGTACAAGTCAACTCCTTTAGTGCCTGGGTTACATTACTTCTCCACAGAGCAAATCCTTCTTCCCCGGTTGGCACTGGCATAACTCCAGAGAAAGCTTTAAGTCTCTTGTAATTATGCTCATTAGATGTTTGGACCACACTTTTAGATAACTGAGTTAAGACTTCTGTTAGGGAGAGGCTCTCCTCTGTCTTCTGACTTGTGGCAACACTAGTAAGCTTCCTATGGGTCCTGCTTCTTTTGGCCAGTTTCAGACGCTGTTATGCGTGTCCATCACTGCCTTCTCCTTCAGTATCAGTCATAACTATTCTTGTAGGAGAGATACCAAATATGTGATCACTGTCCACATCGTTGGGATCACTTTCATCTTCTGACTCATCTTGAGCAACTGTAAATACTAAGGACAATCTTCTTTATTTAGTGGCCTATGACTCTTCACTAGAGCAACAGCAAGTCCTGCCTTCTCATCCTTCTGTGTCTGTATAAGGCAGAATTTATGTAACCCTAGGATCTGTCGAATGGCATCATCAAAAATGTAATGTACTATATTTGACCCTGTAACTTTCCAAAACACCATAACACCTGTACATGGGGGGTACTGTTTTAGTCGTGAGATATCACTGAATACAAATATGTGTACTTTGTTGCAGTAATAGCTAACAGTATTATGACATTTACAGTTAAATTGCCATGCAGAACTAAAAAAATAAAATTTCTTAATTTCTTAAATTTGTTTATATTTTATTCATATTAAATTAAGTTTCTTATATCAATATTTGATGTGATATGAATGCCCTGTTTATCCTTAACAAGATTATATATAAGTTTGGATGCATTTAATATGAAAGAGGTGAATTACGGTTGAACAGATATATATAGAGCAAATTCCAGATTTTGTTTACGTTTTGTTCTTATCAGAACTTGTACAATTACCTTAGTCCTTAAGGGGTTAAATCAATGGTCTGTGATAAGAGTTGGAGATGTTTATGACATACGTCATGCTAATAGAGTAACTAGGATTTATTCTAGACCACTGTACTTACCGTACTTGGTGCAGTTAACGCATTTGTATCATTAGCAGAGGGTTGTAGTAATTGCTATGTTGAATCATAAGGACAATAGTGATATTTTTATTAATATTTTGCCAAACAGATTTGGTGACAATCCATGCATGCAGACTTCTCATTTGCACACCATAGGCTCATAGTTTACTAAAAAGTAAATTTGTTCAAATTAGATTTTATGAATTGACACAATACAATTATGTGTTATTGTGGATTGTTTTAAGCACCGAATCTTCTCCTAAAATTTGACAAAGTTCATTTAGTCTCTGTTGCATTTTAGGAATTCCAGCAAGTTGAGATTCAAGTCTCTGTTTTTCTTCACTTAAAGATAGACGTGTAGCAGTATCCAGTTCTTCAAAGCGCCAACCACCTTCTCCATCAAACTGCAACAAATGTGTGTGATATTTCCTGGACAGGCATAAGGATTAAGAAATATTGAGAATTTACATACAACATGAAACACAATTTTATTTGGTTGCATATTATGAAAAAAAGTTATTAACTGCACTATTTGATTGCATTGGCTATTTGAAGGAACTGTATTTTAAAAGTCCCAGTCTAATGTGAATAGTGGAGTAGTCTGGAATTGTGCAAAACACTTTTTATTTTCATCAGCTATAGAATATTTTTCGTCTTCTTTTCTAAAAAAAATAAATATGTCTTTGCATATGCCTTCAATAATGGCAAGGTATTTGTTTCTGGAAGAACTTTAATCCTACTGATAATTAATCTGGTCAAGAAAATGTATTCTCCTCAACTTCTGACTGTCTCACAAACCCTTCTGAACATGGCTCTGTCACTTTTGAGTATTTCATAATAATCAACATTTGTCTCTAAAGTGAGAATTCCAAGTGAATTTTGAAATTTAGAGCCAAATAACTAATATTCCCAGTTTGGTTGTTTTGACCTTAAATTATAAATTTACTTTGGATTCACTTGGAATTCTCACTTTCAAGAATACCCCTCATAATCATAAAAAAATACATACCTAGTGTGTTGTAATTTCATTGAAATTCCACCACAATCCAAATAGACAATTGAAAAAAAAGCAGGGACTACATTGTCTTATGGACAAGCTTGAGGTTGACAAATTTGACAAAAGGCACAGCTATCAACTTTTGCCAAATTACAGCAGTCATTGAATGCTATGAACATGGGAATCAGGCATTGTCTTGCTCAATGCAAGACATGATCTAAGTCGGCTCCCATGGTCTTGCAGAGTCATCTTCAGACCTCAACATTGAAGACAGTTCCCAGGAAGGAGATGGTGGTGGCTACAAGGGACACCTTCAGGTATATCACTGCGCAAATGTATTAAGCAGCTGTAAAAAGATACTGTAAAGTAGGAATGCTTTTAAAAGTAGAAATGTTCGTTTATTTGTATTGATTAACAAAATACAAAGTGAGTGAACACAAGAACAATCTAAATCAAATCAATATTTGGTGTGACCATGCTTTGCTTTCAAAACAGCATTACATTTTTCTAGGTACATGTAACGGTTCACCTGGCACCCCGACTGGGTACCTCCGTTGAAGGATGCTCCTAGCGCTTCCTGAGGACTCCAAGCACTGCAGCAGACACAACAACCACCGAACCGGAGAAGCATATGAATGCTCTCAAGCATATGAATGTTGTATACAGCCAAATAGGAAAAACCATGCTAATAGGTTTACACTCCTAGCAGTCAAACTGGAACAGCATACAATAAATCCTCCCCCAATAATGAGATGACACTTCACTTTGAGGGTTAAGCAGGAACTCTGCTGTAATGGCCACACACTGGCTTTTATGCAAGTCCCCATGCAAGGGGACATCCCACAGGGTGGGACACAGTACAACCAATCGTTTACAGGAGAACCGTAAAACACACCCACAATTACATCACAATCCCTCCTCTCTGTCCTGGAGATAATTGTGAAGTAATCCAATTATCTCCCAGGACAGAGGCAAGACTCCATTAACCACATGGCAGTAACAACACAATAAAAGACATAACATTACATACAGTTACATTTATTCCATAAAACATAGACATTCTACATATCCCCAGATAGCTTAGATCTGAGTGCACATTACTACCGAATGGCGCTCAGATCACATACATACAGTTCAATCGCCATGGAGCCAAAATCTTTCATACAGTCTTTCAGTATACGGTTGGGCTCCATGGCATAGCTATCTGGGGTAGCATGGCTTTAACAGTCCGCAGAAAGGCACGAATAAACCTTTCTGCCGGTAAAATAAAAGTTTAAAATGCAGGACCATAGTCTAAAGGGAGCAGGCGAGCAACCAGGCCTCTCCAGTGGACAGTGGCGAGGTTGGTTCCGCCACAGTACACTTTCACAAAATATAGTGCAAAACTTAACAGGTAGGTAGTTCTAAATATCTTGGAGAACTAACCATGTCTGTGGATATGATGTAGGCAGCCACATGCTTCTGCATGTAATACTAGACAGACTTGATGTTGAGATCATGGCTCTGAAGGGGCCATACTTCACATCCAAGACTCCTTGTTCTTTAGGCTGTATGCTTGCATTTGTTATGACAGACAACAATGTCCCCTGCACTCAGGTTACATAGAATATGATGGCAAACCCTACTGGGACAACTGAGGAACCTCGAACAGAAACAACAAACGGCCCCAGATGACAAGACATACAGGCAGCTGGAAGCCGTGAGAAGAAACATTCATACACTATTATTGGATGATCCATGGCCTGGTCAAAACGGACGTACTTTGAAAAGGCCAATAAAATTGACACACTCCTGGCCAGGACGCTACGGCCCAGGCAAGACCGGTCTCACATCACAGACATCAAACATCCGGACGGCACAACAAAATCAAAACCAACTGAAATTGCTAAGGTCTTCGAAGATTTCTACAAACGACTATACAACCACACACCGGATGGGAACTCTCAAGATGGGCAAGAAGAGGAACATATTCTCGAATATCTAGACGGTTTAGTACGGCTGACCAAATTAAACAGAGAGGCAGTAAGTAGTCTAGTGCAGAAATCAGTGAAGAGGAGTGTAACGGCTACCCAGAGTGGAGAGGGGTATTTGCCATTGGAGAAGTCCTTTCTCAGGGCCAGGTGCTTGGCTGAAGTGAGGAGGCAAAGTCCCATCAGCTGGATCCCTGGAGCAGTAGAGAGGCAGAGCTCTGAAAAGAGCTAGTGATTATGCTGCAAGTTCCCTTTCAATAACGAGACACAGCTATGTTTTGAAGGGTGAAGAAGAACTGACTCCAATGAGCCTTTATTGATGCTTTTATGCAGGATCTTACAGGTTTGGCAACACCCACTGGGGCACCAACAAGGCAGTTACAGCAACCAATCACGTACAAGGTTACACCCAGTAGTTACAGTAAATTCCTCCCCTCTGCTTAGGAGATAATTGATTTAATTAACTGTATCTACTCAATTATCTCCAAGCTGAAAAGTTAAAATTTTTATGCACTTTTATAACTTTGAGCATTTATAAGATACAGGAATAAACTATATATTTTTATGCACAGAACATCTTGGGGAAAAACATATCCAAAATTTGTGCAAATCTGTTCGGTAGTTCCTGGGATACAAAAAAGTCTCTTTGGACCGACTGCACGCCTGATTGTATGCCCAAAAAGTTACACAGATTCAGGCTGTGCGGTCGGTCTATTTTCATTAGACGAAAAGTTTTCTTTCCCGAACGGATTGCTTTGTGCTTGGTCTCATTGAAAACATCTTGTTCGGGAGTTTAAACCAGGGAAAGAGCGCTGTGTTCGTATGAATTTAGCCGAATGCACGGAGGATGGAGGTTTTAGCTGAGTGCGTTCGACTAAATAAAATGGCCGCCGCCACATGTTCGGCAAACGAATGCCGACCACCAGGTAGAACAAAGAGAGCAATGGAGTATTCATAGTTACATAGCTGAAAAGAGACTTGCGTCCATCAAGTTCAGCCTTCCTCACAAATGTTGTTGCTGTTGATCCAAAAGAAGGCAAAAAACCTGGTCTGAAGCGCTTCCAATTTTGCCA